AGGAATCCAAAATTATAGACATTTCATACTTCTACACTACCAGTGACATAATGTATGCATTAAAACCCACACTAATTTGTATCTGATCTATTTATTATAAACTAACATGATTTATATACTTCATATTCATATACTTTATATACTTAATATACTTTATATACTTTATATGTATATTTTGCATACATATATCTCTATCAATTACATTTAAGTATGATATAATACATTGTCTTCATCGCATATAGTATTACCTTCCAACTCTACTGCTCTATGTAAACCTAAGCATGTAACAGCTCACAAAAAGATAAATCTCATTAGCTTCAAAAGAGACATTAGAGACGTGACAAAAGAAAAGGACAAAGTGCTTACCCTAAGCTTCTTAAAATGCAATGCTAGGTATAACACGCAGAGTGAAGACTGGGCCCGAAGAAGAACAGGTTTTAAACCAATGCACTAACTTTAGAATATGATTGTGAGCTGCACAGTCTACCAAGTTAGGATGATTACTGGTGGTCAGACAGGTCCAAAGGATAGGTGAAAATGAAAAAGAAAATTGATTCATAAAGTAAATGTAAGTTCAAATGTTAAAAAAAAACCCAAAACTATAATTTAAAGAACCAAACCAACCAAACAAACAAAACCAAACAAACAAAACCACATGAGGTGCACTAATACATGGTAATTGCGACTTACAGTTTGGCATACACTTACTTGAAAATTTAAGCTGTACATATGGAGGACAACATGGATAGGTTGCATAAAACTGCAGAATATAACAATGTTTTTTAATAGCAACAGATGCAAAAATAGTCTTTGGTAACTAGCTAGACATACACATGCAAACATTACTGTGTCTTTCACCCTGATTAAAACCTATTGAAACCTGGCATTAAATTACTCAAAAAGTATTACTAACAGAGCTTTCTATAACTTATAAAGATTTATATGATAAACCTCAAGCATTTACATGATCCCTCAAATCTGTATACAAAAAGATTTTGAAACTGGGATGACATACAAGCTAAAATAAATATTGTATACCTTTAGTATTCACAGTGCTCTGAAATGTTCTGTTCAAGTTTTGGAACTAACTCTGCTTTTTTTTTTTTTTTTTTTTTTTTTTTTTTTTTTTTTTTTTAATGCTATCATTAAAATAAGGCTTTGAGTTTCTTGGACATATGTAAAGTTACCCCAAGATAAAATGTCAATAGTTTTATCTTAAGTGTTGCAGATCAGTTCATACTTTGTATTCATGTACACCTGAAAAAAGACCTTCAGCACTGCCTCCACTACTACTCTGACAGACAACACCACAACAGTCTTACTTCACTTCATCTTGAAGCCAATTATAATTTTTGTCCCCAGTTGCAGACAAAGGCTGCTATCAAACATCAAGCTGAATACCGTAACCAGCAGAGTGTGAAGGCTACATTTAGGCATACACATATTATTTCCACTCAGTCTGTCTCGTACATTGCTATTTCTGGTCAAAAGATGCCACTCCGGTAGTAATTCTGCTTTCGTTACAGATTGCTGTCTACAGATGCTGTTGCCGAGATGGTGATAAACTCAAGATTTCCATGACAGTGGGAGTTTCTCCACGTACCCACAGGCTGGGAGGGATGGAGGCAATATAGGGCTGGATTAACAGCCCAGGCACATGCAAGCAAGCCCTCTGAGCATTAAAGAAACTCCTGACATGCCAAAGGACACTGAATAATTAATTATTTGAAAAGTCAGCTACGTACATTTCCATTAACACCAAAAGGCCGTAACACATAAAAGTCACCAAATGCCCATGTTCACCACAACCCTGCTACGAAACAAGTGAAATGTGTGGCAGCAGGAGAACTGTGTGCAGTTGCTCCCATCTCCTGCTGGCTTTGTGCTGCTTTCACCTGGTGGCTGCAAGGCCACAGGGCTGGACCAGTGATCCCTCCTGCGGGCTCGTTCTTCCACACATGAGAACAGATGGACGGAGGCACTCAGCATCTTACAGAACGCACTCAGAACTTCAGTAAACTCTGACTGATAAATTTATTTTTGTGAGTCATGCAATTACACAGACTTGTTGTCCAAGTTCAGAGACACAGCAACCACAGCTGCAAGGAGATAAACGGAGGCCTTGTGCTGGGTTTGATGTGCATTAGGTTCTTGGTTTACACAACAGCTTCCAAATTACACATTAACCTCAGAAGCCTAGAAAAAGACGACCAGGAACAAAATGGTCCCCTTATGGAAAAATTATGTAATACTTATTGAATTTAATACTCCAAGGGTGTATCTGCCTGATGAAGAGACAATTCTTCCCTGAAACATAGGCAGGATGGAGAGCCATAAAACTAAAGACAAAGTCCTTACAAGGATGGAGGTAACCAATTCACAGAGCACCAAATTTAGAGACACAGCTTCCACACTTTGTTCATACCAAAAAAAAGGAGAAGATGGTGCAGGGATGCTGCCCACTTCTCCAAACGTCACAACAAAATACTGCTTGGTGTAGGAAAATATACTATTTTTATTAAAAAAAAAAGAGAATTAGGTAAACAGATATAGCCAAATGCATCAAACTCTTCAAGGAAATGCACACAAGCATCCAGAACTAGGAGGAAAAAAAGTCCAAAACAAGTGTGCAGGAGTCTGTACCAGAATTTTCTCACATTTTACATGGTTAACCCAATATTCTCCTAAGTGTGTCTATACTTTAAGTTACTGGGATGTCTGTTCTCATATGTGCCACAAACACCCTAATAATAGCTGCATTTACAAACGCAGTCTACATCTTCTCACTTGGATACCATAAAATGTTCAGCTTTCTACCTTTTCTTTGGTATTTGGGTAGAAAATCTAGTTCTTTCCCCTGATGGTATCAACATCAACACAGTGACACTGGAATACCCCTGCTTCTTTCGATGTTTTAAGGCTGGTCTACACACTAGCATTAAATTGTTACAAAGTAACATGCAAAACATAAATTAAGACCACTCCATCGTACATACACATTTATCCTGGTACAGAGATACTGCTAGGAGGCACTTACTAGCATTGTCATAATTCCCAAATAAGAAGGTGAATATACTATATAGGGCAACTCCTCACACATTTCACACTGCCACCCAAAAAGAATTGTATCATTATACAGTAGCAAGTATTTTAGGAGAAAAGAAACAAAAACATCTCATATTCCTCACCAAGATGGTCCTACTAGCTAAAAAACTGGGTCTGGAGCAGGCCACACCATCCAAACACGAATGAAAGACTATGAACTTTATTTAAAAAAGAAATAGTCCCATTCTAAAAAAACAAATAAAAACATCATAAAATCACCAGAAAATACAGTTGATTCAAGACTATTCAGACAACAGTCCTGAAATGGATGCAGAGTTGTTTACTCCTATCAAAAAAAATAGGCAAACATATGCTACAATCTCTAAATCTTCCCACTGGAAGAATTAGGACAGAATTAGAAGGTATTTCTGTAACAAAACACTTATTTCACACAATAGCTTAAAAAGTTACATGCTGCAAAATATGACAAATAAGTTCCTATTGCACAAAACATTGTCTGGGTGTGCAACTTGCTCAGAAACAGAGCTTACAACAAAACAAGGGAAATTACTCACAAGAATAAACTCATTCATCTTAACGGAATTCTCATGTGAATAAAGTTACTCATGCACACACACGGGTAAGTAAGAGGCTATCAGACCCTCCTAATCCCCTATGCATTCTACCACAGCAGCAGATGTGACCTGCTATGTCCCTCTCTGGCTGGTAGAAAGGACGTGGGTGGGTGAGTGGCTCTCTCCCCCCTTAAATGCACCTGCTAGTGCAGCTGAGCTGGCATGAAAGGGGGGAAAAGGTACTTCAGGAAAAGAACAAGTGCAGTTTATTGCCTTCTGGGAACCAGGAAGACAAGCAGGGATTTGAAGCATAATTCCAAGTCATAACAGTGCTGCCACGCTCCTTCACTCCTGCAGTTGTACTGCTCTCGGGCTCAACTGCAAGGTGCTAACACGGCTCACTGCATAACACCTCACTCCAAATAGTCCCACAGAAACTTGAACTTTGAAAGTATTTCCTTCTGTTTCCACTGGAAGCATGTTCTATTTAGCCCAGTGTTTCTTAGAAGATCCGTGTAACTATTGAACATTCTGGATTTTCCTTTATTAAACATAGTCTCCAGTGCAATTCACTTATCGTATAGACGTAGGTTGTTCAATGCAAGCTGTTGATTAAATTTGCTTAATGACACCAATAGTTCCTCAGCAAATATCATAGAGAACGTTACATTTACAAAGGCATACAGCCAGCTGGCATGGAGAATGCAATTAAACAATCCTACAGTTAAAAATGTAATTCTAAAGGGAATATAACTTTTGGGGAAATTATCTGCTCTGCTTTCTGTATGACTGTTCCCATCCTGCATTCATTCAGCTTACTATAAAAGCAATGCTAATTTGGCATCACATTTACCTGCCTCCCTACGAAAACATAGCTTCCCACACATCACCTGGATGAACTTATTTTACTCTGATTGATTTAACTCTGATTAAGATGCGCTTCCCTCACACAACCCCTGGAACAAGTGTTTATGCCCGGTGCTCAGGGAAGGGCAGCCGCGTGCAGACACCCAGGGATTTTATTGATGCTGATGCAGCTGTGTAACCCCCTGGCGAGCTCTCACACTCTAGGGCAGAGCCGTGCCCGACGGACCGCGGTCCCGCGGGGCGGACAGACCGGCAGGGCAGGACAGAGGGCCATGAAGCTCTCCATCCTTCCTCAGGGGCTGCGGGCGGCGCCCCGGCGGGCGCGGGGCCTGCGGGGCCGTCCCGGGTGCAGCACTCTGGAGAGCGCCGGGCCGGGCCGAGACCGCGGCCGTCCCAGCACGGGTCGCAGCCCCTGCCCCACCGCCCGCTCCGGCGCCCGCCGAAGTTCGCGCCGGACGAGGTGCGAGGCGGCGGGGCCACCCCTCTCCCGCCCGCCGCGAGCCCCGCGCTCACCTGAAGTCGCTGTAGGGGTGGATGATCCAGAACCCCGCAGTTTTAACCCTTTCCTGCTCCTTCTCGACCGCCTTCTGGCTCCCGAACATGCGGAGGGAGAATTTGTTGACCCCCGGCTGCAGCATGGAGGTGAACTGCCGCTGCATGAAGCCGTACTGCCGCCGGGGTCCCTCGGCATCCTCGAAGCCCACCACGGGCTCCTCGCCCCCGCCGCCGTCCACTTTGAAGCACACCGAGTTGCCATGCTCCTTCACGCCGCCGCTGCCGGGGCTGCTCTGGGCTTTCTCCGCCGGAGCCGCCGGCTTGGCTGGGAAGGAGTTAGCGCTGCCATCGTCCCGGCTGCCGGCGGAGGAGCTGCGCTTCCCAGCCTCCATGCTGCGGGGGGGGCGCGCCCCAGCCGCGGGAGAGCGCGAGGAAGCCTCGTCGCCGCCGGTGCCCTTCAGCGGCGCGGCTGGGCTCGGCCGCCCTGGGCTGGAGTGGGTTGGGCTGGACTGGACTGGGCTGGGCTGGGCTGGGCTGGGGCGGGCTGGGCTGGGCTGGGCTGGGCTGAGCTCCGCGCCGCCCGGCAGCAGCAGCGCCGCCGGCCCGAGCCGCGCTCCGCGCAGGGCGGGCACCGCCGCCCCGTGCCCGCCCCCTGCCGGCGGCCGCGCCGTCCGCCCGCCTGACATTGAGAGCCCCCGAGTCCTTGAGGGGCCGCGGCGCCCGCGGCGGGGAGGGAGGGAGGGAGGGCAGGGGAGGAGCCGGCAGCCTGTGGGGAGGGGAGAGGAGGAGGGGGGAACCTCTGCCGGCCCTGACTGCGCCTTGCACGGAAGGGCAGGAGCGCGCGTGGGTGGATGCTTCACCTTGGGCGAAGCAAGGGGCGAGGCGTGGGGTGGGAACCTGCACAGCCCCAGCGGGCTGAGAGTGATGCGGTGGGGACGTTCCACGGGCTCTCCTGTCCCTTGGGAAACCTCCGTTGCTCCTCAGGGAGCAGGCAAATTGGGAGAGGGCAAAAGGTAGGGGTCTGCCTGGCCCCGGGGTCGAGTGGCGGCGCTGGAAGTCACAGAGGCTTTTTCGGTTCGTTTGCTAACAGTGCAGTGTGTGCCCAACGCAAGGGAGCATCTCTGGGATGTAAGTGAGGAGGGAAGGCCAGGTATTGAGTGGAATTCGTTTTCATAAACAAAACACATCACTCCGGTTAGACACTCCTGCCAAGTGGCTTTTCCTTGTCCCTGAGTCTTAATGCTGACTGAAAACACGGGGCCGAGCGCATGAGCGCAGGGACACGCAACATGTGAGATGCTGCAAGCACGGCTGGAGCACACAGGGATGCAATTCCCACCGGGAGGGCTGTGCTGCCACAGGCACCTGCCTGTCTTCCTGAAATGCGTGAAATGGCAGGTGTACCCGACTGCGAAGACAACCATTTCACATATGCCAAGAGGTGGTTTGGACTTACTTTTTGTGTCAACAGGAAACTAGAATCCACTTCCAGTTCGTTCCATCTGACATTTAAGTACGTAAGTTACAGTTTAGAAGCCTCTAGGAGGCAGAGGAAAGCTGTTGGTCAGAAAGAAAACAGAAGGTAGTTGTAGCTCCCAATACTCTACATACACTCTAAGAAAATAGAATATGCATTGTCTTTGGTATGGCTACACATGTTGTCCTAACAATTGGGGATTGTATTCGGGGAGTGTGGGGTGAGGTAGGAGCTGAGAGAACATTTCTGCCAGTGGTAAGCAGCTGTTTACAAACCATGAGTGAGGAGGAGGGCCTTGATCTTTGCTCTGAAAAATCCAAGATGCTGATATTTATCCCTAAATATGTGTGTTTGTTTGGGTTACAGAATGATGGAGAATCAATATCTTGTTATCACAGGAGCTATAGTACTGTGTGTACCTGCAAAAGCATAAAGATATATTAGAGCATAGACATGTAGGTCCTGTACTTTCATTTGAAATAGGTTTGACATAGGTTTGTTTTTCACACATTATCAACACACTTTTCATTTTGCACATTGAAAGTATAGTAGAAAAGAATTTGTAAAGTCTCACAATCTTGACTCTGGTATTTTCAATGGTATTTTTCACATCATTTTACATACTTTGTCCTTTACACAACAGATGCTTAAACCTAAGAGAGAAACAGATGTGCAAATCTGCACACCACAGTGCAGATCAGGTGCACTGGGGAGCTGTATTTCAGAATGGGATCTGAGGACTTTCCTTGGCAATTCCAGCTCTAACAGAATGTTTATGCCTAGTGCACTCAAACACACAAGGCTCTGATGATGTTAATGTCTTCAGAGTGGAAGATGTTAACATCATGCAAGAGTGGAAGAAGATGGCTAGTATAGATGCACCAGGATGGATTACTGGAGGCTGAGCAGTGACCAGCATAGGAAGGAATATGCTCGCAGCGTGATTGGTTGAGGACTGACATACATAAACCTTCCCCATCTGGAGTGATACTTTTCTGTAGGATTTTATCCTAAAACAGTGAAGAGTGTGTGCGCAGCTGCTAATGGCTCATGCACAGCTGCTGACTGACAAAAACCTCTTAGTGTTTTATCCCCAGATGATGTCCGCCTCCTTCCCTCATCCAATGTCTGTCACCAAATGATAATTAAAAAGTAAGAAATTGTTACTGTTTTGCAGCTTTCTGAAAGAATTAACTCACATGATGTTTGACAGAAGCCTGTAAAGGCAAGGGATGAAAAGGCTAATGCACGCAGTGCTTTTCCACGTACTCACACAGTTTACTGCATCAGCAACAGTGGAACTGACACTTTCCACGTCATATAAACATTGAAACCTTAGAGTTTTTCCCACCTCTTCACATCTTCTTTCAGAGGACTTTTGCATGCAGTCCTTGACCTGAATGATCTCTAGGAGAGCAACAACTAGTCCTGTACGGGGAAAAAATAGAGCTGTAATGGAGTAAATCAGAACACTGAAATGGAGGCATTTACAGCTGCAATAAGCAGATTCTGATGTACATTTCTTTAATTGGAGAAGTGAAGATTGAATTAATGGTGATGGTCCTTCATTCATGAATGAAGAAAATTGTGCACAGCAAGAACATCTTATTTCTTCTTTTATGAAACTTGTTTTCTCTTGTATTTAATGTCTCATTTGTCAGAGTTTATCCTGCATGAACTGTAGACCTACCAGAATGACCAACCCTGCCTGGCTTCCCCTCTTTTTTCCTGCTCCACCTGGTAAATGAGCCTACCAGGAATGAGACCCTGCTAGACCTGCTCTTCACAAACAGAGGGGCTGGTGGGAGATGTGGTGGTTGGAGGCCATCTGGGGCACAGTAACCATGAAATAATAGAGTTTTCAATACTCAGGGATGCAAAGAGGACCATCAATAAAACTTCTACCCCGGACTTCCAGAGGGCAGATTTTGGCCTACTCAGCAGACTGGTTCAGAGGGTACCTTGGGAAACAGCCCTTGAAAACAAAGGGGTCCAGGAGGGATGGACATGCTTCAAGAAGCAAGTCTTGAAAGCACAGGAGCAGGCTGTCCCAGTGTGCTGAAAGGCGAGCCAGCAGGGAAGACAACTGACCTGACTGAAAAGGGAGATTTTGAAGGAGATTAGGGGAAAAAAGAGAGCTTACCGACTATGGAAAAAAGGACTGGCTACTCGTGAAGAGTTTAGGAATGTAATTAGGTTATATAGAAAGAAAAGTAGAGAGACAAAGGCACAATTTGAACTCAATCTTGCCACTTCTGTTAAGGATAACAAGAAGTGCTTCTACAGATATATCAATAGCAAAAGGAGGGGCAAGGTAAACTTCCATTCTTCACTGGACATGGGGGGGAACATAGTCACCAAAGATGAGGAAAAGGCTGAGGTATTTAACACCTTCTTTGCCTCAGTTTTCAACAGTAAGACAGGTTGTCCTCAGGACAATTGGCCTTTGGAGCTGATAGACAGAGACAGGAAGCCGAATAGCCCCCCTGTAATCCAGAAGGAAACAGTTAGTGACCTGCTGAGCCACTTGGATCCTCAGAAGTCTATGGGACCAGACGGGATCCACTCAAGGGTAATGAGGGAACTGGCAGAAAAGCTCACCAAGCTGCTCTCCATCATCTACCAACAGTCCTGGCTCACTGAGGAGGTCCCAGATGATTGGAAGTTAGTGAATGTCACGCCAATCCACAAAAAGGGCCGGAAGCAGGACTCAGGAAACTACAGGCCCGTCAGCCTGACCTCAGTGCCTGGCAAGGTTATGGAGCAGATCATCCTAAGTGCAGTCACACAGCACATACAGGATGGACAAGGGATCAGACTCCGCCAGCACAGACTTAGGAAGGGTGCTGGGAGAATAGAGATCATGTGTGAACAATTCCCCTTGCATTTCTGTAGGCCTTGCCTTGGCATGACTGGGCGCAGACAGTAAAAGAACTGTGTAGGTAATATGGCTTCAGCCTTTGAAGTTAGGACAAAGAAGGCTCCCTGCCAAGGTTAAGGCGGAGTTTCAAGAGGGTGAACATATGCCCTCTGTCCATACACTTGTTGTGCTCCAATTAGCAGTGGACAACAAAGTATATTTCTCTTATGTATCCAATGCTGTGTGAAGAAGAATCACGCGTCCAGGTGTAGCAGCAGTATATAATGAGTGTTCTTCTTGTAGTAAACCGACATTTTGCCGACCAAATTGGCCTGTGAGCAATCTGTTCCATGCCCCTCCACTGATAGAAGGGCAGGTCCTGTCTGACCAACCTGATCTCCTTTTATGATCAGGTGACCCACCTGGTGGATGGCAGGAAGGCAGCAGATGTGGTCTATCAGGACTTCAGCAAAGCCTTTGACACCATCTCCCATTGCATTCTCCTGGAAAAGCTGACAGCCCACAGCTTAGACAGGGGCACTCTGTGCTGGGTTAGGAACTGGCTGGAGGGCCGAGCCCAGAGAGTGGTGTTGAACGGTGCTGCATCCAGTTGGCAGCCGGTCACTAGTGGTGTCCCCCAGGGATCAGTGTTGGGCCCAGTTCTATTTAATATCTTTATTGATGATCTGGATGAGGGGATCAAGTGTACCATTAGCAAAATTACAGATGACACCAAATGGGGGGCGAGTGTTGATCAGCTGGAAGGCAGGAGGGCTCTGTAGAGGGACCTGGACAGACTGGAGAGTTGGGCCGATTCCAGTGGGATGAGCTTCAACAAGGCCAGGTGCCAGGTCCTACACTTTGGCCACAACAACCCCATTCAGTGCAACAGGCTGGGGACAGAGTGGCTGGAGAGCAGCCAGACAGAAGGGCACCTGGGAGTTTGGATTGACAGGAAGCTGAACATGAGCCAGCAGTGTGCCCAGGTGGCCAAGAAGGCCAATGGCATCCTGGCCTGGATCAGGAACAGTGTGACCAGCGGGAGCAGGGAAGTGATTCTTGCCCTGTCCTCAGCACTGGAGAGGCCACACCTGG